ATATGTACAATATATAATTATATATATTTTTATCATTAATTTTATAGTGTATGTATGCAATTTCTCTAAATATATGATAATTCAATAATATGTGCAATCGATAATGTTGATTAATGTTTATAACTTTTTATTTTATTTTATTTTGTATATTTAAATGTTTAACCTATATAAGTGTTACAAAACAGGAAGAATATAAACAACCATTTTAAATTTTTTATTATTGACTAAGAAAATAAAAATAATGTACATAACAAACAACAATAATTTGATTTTTTCTTTTTTTATAAATTGAGAACAAATAAAGCTCAATAGAAAGTCTAATTTAAAAAATATTACATTTTTTAATAAGTATATTGCATATAAAGCCCAATATTGGTCCATCAATTTTAGCAATGTGACATATCTTACATTGTAAACACAAATAAAAAAAGTATGCTATTTAAATCACTTCACTATGAACCAATTCCAAATTCAAAAAGTGAAACGTTGAACCAATTTAAAAAAGTATGATATTCGAACCGGTCTCAGTTCACCGGTTCAACCGGTTTTGGAACGGTTCGAACGGTTTTTGACCGATTCGGAAGCTAAGCGGTTTAATTGAGCAAATTGGACCGGAATGAAGGCCGGTTTCCGGTCCAACTGATTGAACCGGCCGGTCCGGTCCTGTTTTGAGAACAATGCATAATACTCTCCCCTTTATAGTTCTATCATATTTTACCTATATTTTTATTTTATAAAATCTATTATAGTTATAAAATTTCAAGTTCTTGTGGTGGTGGTCTTGGTGGTCGTGCCGGTGATTTGCCACAACAAAAACGTAAAAACGTAGGCGAATCTTCTTTAGTAGACCTCTATTGCCGATATCGAGATAGACGGTATACCGAGACATTCCGGGTCTTCTCAATGATGCTGAGTCCGCTTACTTATTCATGTCGTTGTTCGCAGGAAATGAAACAATAGCGAAGACTTTGTAAAGAAAAAAATATAACACCTGAAAAATTCTAACCAGACGTTCTAACCGTTGGAACTCAACGTATAAAATGTTAATGAAAACGTTTACATTTTCTTATCAATTAGATTAATTTTTCAAGAATACTCAACGTAAGGATTGTGATGTCACCGTTGCAGCCAGCCATCCACTGATTGGTTAGATTGTCAAACACTATTGAAATTTTTGGAAACATTTCAAGATGCTACTAACCTGTTTTCTAATTTTTACTATCACCTTGCTCAACTTGTTGTAAGTCAATGATGTAGCCGTAATGTGGGCTTTTAGAGATGTTATTTCTAGTGATCCTGACAAACACGACGAACTTCTAAGAGATAAGTTAAAAAAGTGGTTAAAATATTATTTTTTTTCATTCCCGATATATTTTTAGTTGCATATTTGTTAGATCCGTCATTACGTGAGAATAAGTTGTTCAACCAAATTCACACATATTATGATATTATGTATCAACTTCCACTTTCTACTGATGTATCGACTATCATGGTAAGACCTAATCCACGACAGCTCATCGAGCAAGCAAAACTTTTATTGTACGAATTGTTTAAATATCAATCAGGAAAATAATAATTAAATTATATAGTGAACCGTAGTTAAAAAATAATGAAATGAAGAAATTTAGCTTGAAAAGGAGGAAGAGTTTGGGCTATATCCTAGACAAATCCCTCCTAATTTTCCAACTCCATTTTCTTACAACCAAAATAACCATGTTATTTAAGAGCATTTCCAATAATCTTTTCATTGGTCTACTTTGTTGCCACATGCACAAATAATTTTATGTGACATGAAAAATGTCTAGAAGACTTTCTAGATGTAGAAATTCTTGTACTATATAATATTATTTATTCAATTTGTCTCTTCTCTCCAACCAAACAATTTTACACATCACAAATGATACCACAATTAACATTAACCATTGAAGGCACAATGTTTTTAATTTTCTTTCTGCATGCCATACAATACAAAATGGACAATGTTCCATTGGAGATGTTGTAAACATATTAAAATCAAACTGCATGAATATGTATGTACAAAGTTGGGACTATAATATACGGGGCCCACTTGAAAAGAAACTCAATAAAAACCCGGGAAATTCGAAACAATGGCGCTAATCATAATTGTGTTCCGCCACTGCACATACCTTTGTTGTTCTTTGAAGATTTTCTTGTAAAATCTCTCAAGTTTCTTTTGCAACTCTTGAAAGAATTATTGCGTTTGTGCATCCTTGCAACATTCTTCTCTTAACTTCTTCTATCCGTGAATTGGTAATGTTGATATACTTGTGGAAATATTGACTCCTTCTGCAATGACTTCCCCAACTCATGTGATAATAAACATCTCTATCACGTAGTCGTAAATTTCACATCAAAATATTGGCAGAGTAATGTATTACTTGACGATGATGCCATTGTATACATTACGACCCGCCAAGTCTTATGATCGATCGAGCTCAGAACCATTCTTGGTATTTGTTATTATTATTACTACCATTGTATATATTACAACGCCCAAGTCTTATTATTAGTTCTTATATTCATCTTGAACTGAAACTGCAAAAACATAATAAAGTACTTGAAGCCCAAATTGGGTTTCTAGCACGTTTACTGATTTTCTATCTATATATTTATGAAATTATTTATAGATTAAGAATTAATATCTCATTTACTGATTTCTATTGATATATTAATGAAATTATTTATAGATTAATAGTTAATATCTCCTTTATGTATGTAGATATATCTTAGTATCAAATGTGAAAAGTCATGGGGAGCGCAATCTCTATTTATTTCTTTCCAAACTCAATAACAGTTCAGGATTTGACCTATCCCTGTACCTGTCACGTTTTTATGAACCGGGAGCCACCATCCTAAACGGATCGATATCAATTGGGACCGGGACAAAACGGATTAAAAAAAAAAAAACTCAACCAAGTACCGATTTGCTTTGAGGATTTGGTTGGGAATGAGAATGCGAAATTGTTTGGAGAAAAACGATACATAGCCAACTTAGTGTATAACTAGGTTGAACACAAGTGAAAATATCCACTTGTGTATTTTTTTATTTTAATTTTTATGAATGTCTTTTACTTGTGTTGTCAATCTAGTTGTATACTAGGTTGACAATGTAGCATCACTCTTGCCTTCTTAGTTTACTTATACATTTGGGTCAAATAAAAGAAATAATACCCATGTGTTGACCTTGAAAAAGAAAATGAGAAAGCACAATAAATAGAGATATACATATGAGATGAAAAGAAATAATTCCCACTAAATAGAACAAATAAGGTTGCAGATGAGATATAAGAATAAGATTATATTTGATGTTGGGCTGAAAAAAATCACCCAAAAATCAAAGGTCAAAAAGATTTAGGAAGAAGAAGAGAAAAAAGATACAGAAAAAATGCTAACATACAGAATCAATAGAGACAGACTCTAAGGTTTTCTTGCAATCAGTACCGTTCTCTCATCGTATTGTGTTAGGTATAATTTGCAATTTTATTTTTTTTTTCAATGCTTTTGAATCATTCATTCATCACTTATTACTCTGATCTGAACTGTACATTGCTATTTATTTAGGACATTAAAAAATGCTAACATATAGTATGAGCGGAATGAATTGTAATATGCAAAATTTTTGTCAATAAAATCAATATATGCAAGTAAATATCAATCCATCCAATAAAACAAAATATATTAATAAATAGTTAAATACTAATAAAAAAATCACTAAAAAAAAAAAAAACAAAAAATGGATTGCCGTAAAGGTTGCGCCAAATCCAGCCCGTGAGCTGCCCAATAACCCGAAAAAGCTCAGCTCTGTGTATGTGTATGTGTCAGTGTGTTCTAGTAATGCTCGCTTCTTTGAAGAGCGATCATCACACCATTAAAATTGGAGTTAAAAACTCCACGAACTATGTAACGCCGCCCTAGTTTGCGGTGTCGCTCCTCGGCCGCCTTTCTCTGAATTTTTGGCTGCCCGCCGGCCGTTCGTTGCCGGCCATGGACCGCAGCTTAAACCGTTTTCAATTTCCTTTCCTCCTCCGCCCGCTTTAATGTACTTCACCTTTCTCTGTTCACTTTTCCGCAACTTTTTTTGTTTGATTTCTGGCCGCTGGGCGTTTGCCGCCGCGCGCGACCGCAGCCGAGGCGGAGGTTGAAACCCTAAATCAATGTGGGAAAAAGGTCCGGCCCATGTCAAATTTCGTAAGTTTCTCTGTATTGCATACATGAATTTCGTGGCACCGTGTGACCTTGACGATGAAAAGCAAATTGGATTTTGAATTTTTCGGTGACATTTTCTGTTGGGTACTCGTTTCCTCATGTTTAGGCTAATTGTGTGGACCTAACTTTAATCCATGGCAGATCTGCAAAAATGCTGCCTTTTTTGTGTCTAATATTACGACTAAGGATGGCATTTTTTTTTTTTTTTTTGTCTGTTTATTAGTTTCTGGACAATAAATAAAATTTGTGAAGGCCTGCTCATTAATTAACACAATGATGTCTTAGGTAATACATAGATTGGTATGATAAGGTCTGTTTTAGCCAGCCTGTCCTAAAAGTCGATGGATTTAAACGTTGGTTCTTCATGTGGGTTGAGTAACTTCGACTCTTTTAGTAAAAGGGCTGTATCAGGGGAAGTAGTTGGCCGAAGCATAACTGTGAGAGTGCTGAGTTTGAGGATTGAAGGTGGGATGTAACCAACTGTTTAATGAAGTTATGTATTTTATAAATCAAGCACTGCATTAACTAGGTAACTTTTTCTAATTATACTATGTTGTTGGGAATGAAATAACCGACTGAAACTGTGTAACGGTAATTGACACTAGATTGCTTTTGGATGAAAAGAAACGATTCTTGTCTTTTTCTAATTTTTTTTTTTTTTTTTGGAATTCACAATCATTTCATAGGAATTGGTTCTTGATTCGTATACTATCTGGTTGTGTGATGTTTAGGTGCAGCATTCTACAGTTCCAGTTATTTAGGGGCTCAGCTAAATGTCTAGAGTTTTTATGGTGAGAGTTTCGTGTGCCATACCGTTTTCATGGATTTTCTCAAAAGGCTAAGATTATAACTTGCACATTGTTTTTATAGGATACCATGTTTGGAGCCCTGCCATTCTTATCCGCTTTCGTTTCTTTTATCCTTTCTTTCTCGAATGGCTGTGGAATTGATGAAGATATTTTCAGTGTCATTGATTATGGAGCCACGAGTGATGGTTATACAGATAATTCAAAGGTAATTGAAAGATCTCATTCATTCACATCTTTATATACTTGTATTTCTATATTTAATTCTACATGTTTTGAATGTCGATTACTTGTCGATGAAATGTTTTTTTGGCATATCTCTAGGCATTTCTAGAAGCATGGGATGCGGCATGCAGCTCCATAATTGATTACCCAAGAGTGTACGTTCCACCAGACGGGACATTTTTATTAAACCCCGTCACTTTCCAGGGCCCATGCAATGCACTCAGAATCAGTTTTGTGGTACATAATGTATTTTTTTTTTTATTTTTTTAAAGTGTACTTATTTGGATTCTTTTGTTGATTTTGATTTTGTTATAACAATCTAGATTTCGGGGGTGCTTGTTGCCCCAGATTCTCCCAGCTTGTGGGATGGGATGGATGCAAGTCAATGGTTAGGATTTACAGATATCAATAGACTCAGTGCTTGTTCTCCACATATTATTACACACATGCATTATAATGAAACTAGACTTTGTATATATAACTAATGAGATACAAAGATAAATAACGTATTGAATAATGTGTGCTGTGAATTGTGAAATCATTGTTCTTGCGGACTTCCTAAAGTTTTCTCCCTTTTCTTTTTTCCAGAGACATTGCACCAAAGTGGCTCCGACTGTAAGTACTAATATATTTGTACACTCTGCCTTTTGCTTTGGTTAGAGCTTTTTGTTCTAGGACAGCAGAAAATATGAGATTAATATTAAGTATTGTATGGTATGTAATCTTGATAATCAGGCGTTGAAGTTTCTGGGATGCAAAGATAGCAGTGTTAGCAATTTAAATTTCATAAATAGTGCTCAGACGCACATACTAGTGAGGGGCTGCTAAACCTTCGCCATTCAAAATGTAATAATACAGTCGCCGGGGAATAGCCCAAACACTGATGGCATACATATCCAATCATCTCAACAAGTCACCATCTCCAATTCTACAATAAGCTGCGGTAAGTACTTTCTTCAGTTAATTGTATTGTTCGAGTTTTTTTGTTTTTTATTCAATCTGTAGAATCTCCAGTGTATTGGCCAGTAATCCAACATCTAACCTGTCAGTTTCTCCATGTGCTTAGGAGATGATTGTATTTCCATTGGTGACCACATTTCTGATATTGAAATCTGCAGAGTTGAATGCGGACCTGACCACGGTATAAGGTAGTTAACTTATTCCCTACTTCTGCTTCTATTGTTTTTTTCATTTGTGCGGGGAAACAAACTTGACCATACTGTTTTCTGTGGAAATAATTGCAATTGGTTTAGTTTGTTGCATTATTGCTGGAAATTGGTCTAAAAATGAGATTTTTTTTTTTACTGGAAATTGTTGACTATATTAGAATTTTGAATTCTTGATCCTATGTGCTTCACTCAAAGTCTCCATCCCACAGAAAATGTCAAATGCCCCTTGATTAAGTGTCTGTTTGTTTATAAATTTATCCAATTTATGTTCAATTTATACATAAAATTTAACTTAACTCTAACCAAATTCTGTTATTTTAATATTATTTATATAATTAAATAATATCAAACAATTATTCTTATACATTACATCAATTTTAATTCAGTAGTCATTCACTCACATCATTTTAACTGATCATCACTTTACATCATTTTTCACGTCTAACAACTAATTATAACAACTTTTTTTAAATTAACTTTAGTTAACTAAAAACTCATTTTTAGCCAATATATTTGTTTTTAGGACACGATAGTATACAAAAATTTTAAACTTTTATTAAAATAATATTTAATATAAAATAATTAAAACGTAAAAACATTATAAACATTTCTTCGGATTTATTTATTTAAATCAAAAATAAAAAAATAACTGGACAAAATTAAAACAAAAAAAAGACGAGTGGACCAAAATCAAACAGGTGTATTCTGAGAATACGTTTTACATTGTAAAACGTATTCTCGGAATACGTTTTTATTGTAAAAAGTATTATGAAAATATGTTTTATAAATAAAATTAATTTTATTTATTATACTTAATTCTAAAACGTATTTTCAAAATACGTTTTACAATCAATGTAATGAATAATTTATATTTAATTGTAAAACGTATTTCCGTAATATGTTTAACAATGAATTAATTGTAAAACGTATTACGAAAATACATTTTACAAATAAAATTTATTATTTATATTTAATTTTCTTTATTTTTTGCAATATATTAACTTGTTTAATGAGGCGACTTCCGGTGTTCCGTCAGGCTTTGATAAGTAAGTCGAGCATTAACGAAAAGTGTTTTCGAGAAAGCACGAGAAGAGTAGAAGTTGTTTGTGGCATCAATTTACTATTTCGAGGTCCCGATCATTTATTTAGAGAAGCTCGAGTTCGAGGGTGCATATTAATAAATAAATGAAAAAGTCGTTTACGTGGGTCCCGCAAGGACGCGTGTGACTTCGGTTTACCAAGAATCGAGTTGGGACGTGTAGATAATTCAGGCACGATGTCATGCGGGACATTTATCGAGTGTTTCGGAGTTCCGAGCATTTAATTAGAGAAATTTGAATTCCCGTGGGTAGGGGTGAGCAAAACCGAGCCGAAACCGAAAAATCGAACCGAACCGCTGCATTCGGTGCGGTGCGGTGCGGTTTCTGAAGTGTTTCGGTTTCGGTGCGGTTCGGTTTTATGTCCGAAAGGTGCGGTTTTAACCGAACCGCACCGCATATGATAAAGTGTTATTTACTTTTACACTTTTACATACAAGCAATCGTGCAGCACTTATAATCTTTTACTTTTACATTTAAAATGTAAAACTTAAAAATTAAAATCAACCCTAATTTTTTCTCTCCTCAAACCATTCTCATTTCTCTCAACCCTGCAGCCCTGCTCTCATCTCTCAGCTCCGCCGCTCTCGCCTCTCAAGCTCCGCGGACCGCCGCTCACTCACTTCTCTCAAGCTACGCCGCTCTCGTCTATCAACCCCTGCTCGGCTGCTCTCGACCTATCGTCTCTCGACATCGCTCTCAATCTCTCCACTGGCTTCGTCGGTTTAGGTCAGCTCTCACTCACTCGATTTTTTATTTCCTTCTCTCATTTCAATTCGGTCTCTTTCTTCACTTTTTGTAGAGGCATGAGAATCAAAAAGTGTTCTTCAGGGTTCAGTCCTTCAGATTTTTCCTTCTCTCAAGAGTTGGTTTTTTCTGTTTTTTCTCCTGATCTGGAGACAGTAAAGTTGTATTTGTGAGCTCTGTGATTCGAATTTTCGAGCAACTAAGGTATTTTCATGTTGGTCTGAAGACAATAGAGTTGGTATTTTCGAGCAACTAAGGTATTTTCGAGCTCTGTGATTCGAATTTTCTCCTGATCTGAAGACAGTAGAGTTGGTCTGCAGTGGTTTCATTCCTTGTGATTTTCATGTTGGATAAAGAAATCTGCATCTAATCAATGGCTCAGTTATTACAAAGTTAGTAATGATATTGTTGGTGGAATGTGGGATTTTGTTCTTATTGTTGTTTGTTTTTTGTTAGAACTTTGTTGTTTAATTTGGATTTTGTAATGGCATAATGAATTAATGATAATGTGATGTTTGTATGTTTTTTTTTTTATTTGTAGTAATTTTTTTATATTTGCGGTTAACCGAAAAACCGCACCGCACCGAACCGAATATTTCGGTTCGGTTTGGTTCGGTTTTTTTTCCTCTTGCGGTGCGGTCCAGAAATTTCAAAAATTCGGTTTTCGGTTTTTTGCGGTTCGGTTCGGTTTTTTGACCGAACCGCACCATGCTCACCCCTATTTGCCGGAGAAACAGAGAATTGAGAGAAGTCTGAGTGCGAAAAGTGAAGACGAGAGAAAAGAAGAAGTAGTTATAGGGAAAGCAGAGAAACCCTGACCCTCAGATTAAAGTCATATTCAACGGTTGAGATGATGCACGGAATACGAAGCGGTGGAGAGAGAGTGTCTTACCTTTTGAATTTCAAAATTTGAAAAGATTTAGACTTATCCAGCCAATTCGGAATCTAATTGGGAAAATGTCACTTTACGAGTCGAAAAAGCAAGCAGGTATAACTTAGAGCAACGACAGGCGACAGGATATAAGAAAAGACTCGAGTGGACATTCAGTCGTCAAAACTTACTCTTAAGCTCAGAATCGCTTCGAGTAATTTTCGGGGGGACTAGATGATATAGCCATACTATCGTATAACGGTTTGCATTATCAATGGATTCTGAAATTACCGAGTCGACTTAGCCAAAGTCGACTCTCTCCGCAGATTCCCTATAATATCTCCGACTAGGGGTCCAGGTACCCCTCGATCGACTCCTGCGTGTCGACTAGAATAAGTCGATTTCCCTGGAAGGACGGATAAGCGCATTAGGGTCTACCGACGATCGAAGATGACCCCATCGACTCGAGTTGATAAGACCCGAGTCGACTGAGGGAGCCCCAAGGTTCACAGATCCCCGACAATCTGATGAACTTCAATACATCATAAGAAGCTGTTGAAGATAAGGAAGAATCTAGATGTTGACTAGGAAGTGGACGGAATGCGAACCGACCAGGGTATTTTGGACATTTCTAGTAAGTCGGCTGGGGCATTTTGGGGACTTCAGGTAAATCTTTTACTTCTATATAAAGGAGCTGAGGTAACTCCAAAACCCTAGCTCCCATTCATTCTACATTATTCTCCATTACTGCTGCTACTCTCTGAGGGCAGCTTTCTTCATCTTTCACAACACTGACTTGAGCGTCGGAGGCTCTACGCCGGAAATCCCTCCCGCGTTGAGTTCTTGCAGGTGTTCTTGCGGTGCAACAACGGTTCGGAGGCTATCGAGTCAGATCTGAGCTCATTCCCGTCGGTTCATCCCAGATCCGGACGATTTTTCACCGGTTCATTCCAGATCTGAGAAGAGACCCATCAACCTCAAAAAAAAGTTTTGAGAATTTTCTAAGTCTTCTACTTACGAAAAATAGAATCGTTAAATCGGTACAAAACTAATTTTTTCTTACAATCCCCCACATGAATGAAAGTAATGCATGTATGCAATACTTGAGAGTTTCGGCGAACCATCATTGCATTACGATTGATAGCTTGTGGCTTTGAATCTTTCTTAGTGAAATACAATCGGATACACTAGCCGGTTAGTAGCGCGATGCTTTGAACTTACCGGCTGTTTGTGTGCACCAAGACAATAGTACTCACACAATAACAGCTCTAACAATTTCATGTTCTCACGTTGTGTCCATTTCAGCCTTGGAGAGGTTTAGTAAGCGTTCGTTGAAGCGGCCTATTTACTTCTCACTTACAAAGGTGATTATCCTATAAAGAGTATCCTGACTTACTCCACCATAGGTATAGGAACCATTAAAAGTCCTCGACTTAACCTCACCACTGTGACAGATTTTAACACTTGACGGTTCTAGAAATGAGCATAAATTTTTCAAGTGTTTCCCTGAACTGTCAAAACTTAGTTTTCCCATTGAACCAAGATTTCGGGATCTCCGATTCTCATGGTTGGGTTACCGTTAAGACCGTTCGTTTGTTGTGGATTTTTATTAAGCTCATTCCTCAAACCAGTTTGTACAATTTATCTCGTTTCATGCTTTATGTAAACGGATCTATTAGGTTAATCTTTGACTTCACATTGTCAACCGATATAACCCCCACACGAGATAATTTTCTTATGAAATTAAGTCTCCGACGTCTATGTCTAGACTTACTATTGTACAAACTACTTTGTACTCTTTCAATTTCTGATTGGTAAATAATCAACACCATGAGCACAATTTACTCCACCTAGGAATATCTTTTAGAAAATTTCTAAGTCATTAGCTTCATCCACACCTTTTGCCCAAATTTATGAACTCGAACTCCATTGTGGATCTAGCTTTATACTTAGATTATTTTCATGAGACTACTCTACCCACCTAAAGTGAACACTTAGTCACTTTTAGTCTTAGAGTTTTTTCATGTCCAATACTCGATTCAACGTGATCAAAATTCATCGCTCGAGTTACTCGTGAACATTCTTAGTTTTCTCGCTTAAATGCAACATTGGGGCGAGTACTATCCGACAAGCACCTCAAGCCTCCAATTATTCAGCATACTTTTTTCAGAGAAACTAATTATTCTCGAATTATTAGTTAAGTGTAGAGTCAATTCTACATTCACTTTAGTTTGAGGTTTTATCGAACTCATTGAACCTCTTCAACATACATTTGACATGATGAGATTGTGTCAAACAATTTTCCGATCTCTTAGAAACTTAATCTCCAAAATTACATCGGAATTTCACAAACTTTATATGTCAAAGTTTATCTTCTTGGTATTCATGAACACATCATGATTATATTCCAAGATAATCATATTGTCTACATAAGACTTACAATCATAAAGAGTTAGAAGAACCTTCATAGACTCACTTTCTTATTCAATGAATTTGAAATCGTTCGACAAAATTATTTCAACAAACTTTCCATATCATTAATTAGGCATTTTCACCTTAGCATAAACACCCCCACATTTCAAGGTATAAGTACGAATGCTTTTGCTCTTTTTGTAACTCAAACGGAGTTTCGCATCTACCTTTGTGTGGTGCTTTCCATGCCCAAACACCCTCACATTTTAAGATATAGATACGAATGCTTTTGCTCTTTTTATAACTCAAACGGAGTTTCGTATCTACCTTCATGTGGTGCTTGCAATTTTGTCGAAATAATTGCTTATCACATAAGCATTTAGATTAATAAGAAATTGTCACCTACTCATGAGTGATTATTTCTTTTAACTATTTCATTGAATATCAAAATCATCATTATGAATCAAAGCTACAAAAGCTTTACGCCAATACTTTGTGCATTCTTATAATATATTTCCTACTCGAGTCTACACAAATTTTTAAATCACATTTACCGATATGACTTATCTCGAGAGGAATAGTCAATTAAGCAACCGTTTATTACGATGCTTTTGCCACTTTTCATTTTAACACAATTTTCATATTTGTAGTATGAATCAATTCTAGATTCACCAACTTTTAGTGTTAAAATTCACAAGTACTAATTTATCATGCCACAAATTAGAACACTCAGTAAATAAAACCAACTTATTTATTATTTTTCGTCAATCAGTATATTACAATTTTTAGGGGGGTGTATTCAATTAGGACTTTTTATGACTTTTTAAGACTTTTGAAATTTGGGTGTATTCAATTGAAACTTTTTGAGACTCTCAAAAAGTTTACATGTATTCAATTAAAACTTTCCAAGAGTCTCTAAAAGTTACCTGTTATTCAAATTAGAAGGATTTTATGAGACTTTTTAAAATAAAAGACTTTTGAAGACTTTTCTACCAAAAGTATAAAGAAAAAGTACTTTTCAAAATCCCACAAAACTTGTGAGATTTTGTACAACGTGAAGACTCTTGCCTCTCTTGGGTTACAAGATGTGTACTCTCTAGAATTTTCAATGTAAAATATTCCCGTTTGCTCTCGTACTCTTGTCTCTCTAGGGCTTTTCAAGGTAAAAATCTTGCTTGCTAATTCACAAATGATTTTTGAGCAGATTATTGTATGTGCTATTGCTAATGGAAATTTCAAAGTTTTTTTTTTTTTGTTCTATTATTAATAATTTTATTTTGTTAATACCTGAAAGAAGATTAGTTGTATTGTTATATATTGCTTGATTTATTTTCAGGTGCAATTAATATTGCTTTTATCTTTTTCGTTTCTATTTTTTTTTTTTTTTTTT